GCGTTTCTCCCAACGGCATGTTTGTTCGTACTCTCACTTTATGGTTCAAGAAATAAGGTCTCAACTTTCGAGCCGTTACGACCACGGCCAATGCACATTTCTCAATCTCCGAGTATCTCATCTCTGCCCCCTGCATCACCCTACTCACGTAGTAGATGGGAAATTGCGCTACTCCTTCCTCCCGAAACAACACCGAGCTCACCGCCCTCTCTCCTATAAAAATGTATAGCACCAACTCCTCACCCTGTATCGGTTTAGCCAATAAGGGAAGATTGGCTAACACCCCCCGCAACTCCTCGAAGGCCCCCTGCGCCTCCTCCGTCCATTGGAACTTTGCACTCTTCTTCAATGTTTTAAATAATGGACCACTCTTCTCCGCCACCTTCGATACAAAACGGCTCAACCCCACAATTCGACCAGCTAAGATCTGCACTTCTTTAACATTCGTCGGCGGCTTCATCTCCATTACAGCTCGAACCTTCTCAGAATTCACTTCAATACCTCTCTTGGTCACCAAGTAACCCAAGAACTTCCCCGATCTCACCCCAAAAGAGCACTTGGCAGGATTCAATTTCATCCCATATCTCCGCAATGTTAGGAATGTTTCTCTCAAGTCTCGCACATGATCCAACTCCTCCTTGCTTTTCACCAACATATCGTCCACATATACCTCCATGTTCCTCCCCAGTTGCTCCTTGAAAATTTTATCGACCAACCTTTGATATGTGGCACCCGCATTTTTTAGACCGAACGGCATGGCCACGTAGCAATAGGTCCCTCGATTTGTTACAAAACTCACACGCTTCATGTCTTCTCTTGCCAAAGGAATTTGAGATATCCCTGGGAGGCATCCATCAGGCTCAGCAATTCGCACCCTGCCGTTGAGTCGACCAGCTGGTCGATTCTGGGCAGCGGGTATAGATCCTTCGGCACGTTTTGTTCAGGTCACAGAAATCAATGCACATCCTCCATTTTCCCTCCGCCTTCGACACCATCACCGTATTTGACAACCATTCGGGGAACTGGATTTCCTTGATATGCCCTGCTCCCAATAACTTCTCGACCTCCTTCTTAATGATTTTGTCCATCTCGGCCCCATGGTGTCTTCTTTTTTGCTTCACCGGCCTCACACTGAGGTTGATGTTCAGCCGGTGTTCGATCACTTCCGCACTTATCCCCGTCAACTCCTCCGCTGTAGGCAAAAATGTCTGCGAACTCCCTGACCAGATCGATAAGCCTCGACCGGATAGGCTCCTCCAAGTCTTTCCCGATTCTGAACTTCCTCTCTTCACACCCCTCGATCATCTGAATCTCCTCCACCTCTCCCCCTGGCTGAATATCCATCTTCTCCTTGCCTTTCTCCATTCTTTGCTTATCCTCTTTCGATCTCGACCCACCTGTCCGATTAATCTTTTCCTCCTCCGACTGGGCCTGCCTCCTCGCCAGCTGCTTATTATTGCTAACCGTTGTTTGGTAGCAGCTCCTCGATGTGAGCTGGTCCCCAGCAATCTCCCCTACGTTTTCACCCACCGAATATTTAATCGTCATGTGGTATGTGGATACGTCCGCCTGGAACGCGTTCAAGCTCGTCCGCCCCATAATGATGTTATAAGATGACTCAGCCCCTACGACCACAAACCTCACCATGCGCACCTTCCTCAGCTCGCCCACTCCCAGCGCCACTGGACAACTCACCTCACCCATCGGCATCACCTCCCCTCCATTAAAGCCATATAGTGCCGTGGTCACCGGTTTTAACTCCGTATTCAACTCCTTGTTAATTTGCACAAAACAGTCATAAAACATCACGTCCACCGAACTCCCGGTGTCAATAAACACCCTTTTCACATCGAAGCCTGCAACCTCCGCGGTTATCACCAAGGCATCGTTGTGCGGTAGGACCACTCCCTCGGCATCCTCCGCCTTAAAACTTATGACCGGTATGCGAGCCGTAATCCCCACCTCCTCTCTCTTCCTTTTCACAGCTCGAGCATGCTCCTTCCTGGCCCTATTCGAGTCTCCATCCGTTGGCCCGCCGGAAATCATGTAAATCGTCCCTCTCTTCACCGGGGCCTCTCCTCCACGCCCCCCTTTATCGCCATCTCTCCTTGTCTTCTTTCCTCGACCGTCTCGACCATCTCCCTCCTCATCTCTATCACTCATTTCCTCCGAGTCTTCCCTACATCTTCTCCTTCCTTTCCCTTTCACCCTGTCATGATACACAAATTCTTTCAAATATCCCGCTCGAATCAGCGTCTCGATCTCATCTTTCAAATGTCTGCAATTCTCCGTGGTGTGACCATAATCTCGGTGAAATCGACAGTAAATATCCGACCTAGGTCGAATTGGGCCTGTAAACCTCGTCTTCGGCCAAGTCACATCCTCACTCGGCATCTTCTGCTTCATGGCCTCGAGGACCTCTGTCATGTCTTTCCTCAAGGGCGTAAAAGTGTGGTATCTCTGTCTCTCGAACAACATCGGCCTCCTCTACCACTCGTCTCTCTTCTCCCTTTTCGAATCTCGACTCTCTCTTCGGGGTGATGCCCTCTTCTGCCCACTCCGTTTGGGCGAATTTCTCCTCGGCGATCTCCCCCTCTACGGACTTTTCTCCTTTTTTGGCTCTGGTCGAGCCGCTCCCTCCAGCTTTGCAAACTCCACCTCCATTTCCTCCAAGTTGATATACTTCCTGCACCGTTTCAGAACATCCTCATATGATCGAGCAGGGGTCTTGGCCAGGGAAGTTCGACAAGGCCCTGCTCGAAGACTCCTCATCAATCCACCCGCCTTTACCTCGTCCGAAGCTGAGTGCACCTCTAAACATGTTTGGTTATATCGAGCAACATACTTCCTCAATGATTCCTTCTCCCCCTGCCTCATCGCCATCAAAGTCAAATACGTTTTCTCCTGCACCACCGCGCTCGAATATTGATTGATAATCTTGCCAGTAAAGTCCTCAAAGCTCGCGATCGACCCAGGGGGAAGCTGATGAAACCAATCGAGTGCTCCTCTACGCAGGGTCGATAAAAATGCCCGTCAACAAACAGAATCAGAGTACCCATGCAACACAGCCATATTCTCAAAGGTCCTCACATGCCTCGATGGGTCAGATGATCCATCATACACCAAGTTGGTCTCCTTGAAATTATTTGGCAAAGGAGCAGCGAGAATCTCCCTTTAAAAGGGATGTCCTCGAGCTCTCCTCTCTGGCCTCCCCTCCACCTTGTCTTGCAGCTGGCGCAACTGCTCCGCCATCCTCTCCATTGCTCGATCTCTTCCAGCTCCTCCTTCTCCATAACTAGACACATCCTCATCCTGGCTTCCAGCCACCGTGGTCGGCGCAGTGGTGGCATGAGATGTATGACTCGCAACTTGCTGCACCGCTTGTGCCGCCGCGGCCGCCGCTATCCTCTGCATCTCTTCTCAGGTCATCGCCACCATTTGTTGGCCGGGGGCTTGTACAGCTGCCTGTGGTGGCACTCCTCCCTACCCTTGTGTTGGATCTGGTGGTGGTGGTGGTGGCATCGCCGCTACTGTCGCTACACGAGCTTCCTGGACCCGACTGGAGCTGGCATCTCCTCCGGGAATCGCCTTCGTCACTCCCACACCTTGAAGAATAGGTGCGGGAGTGATCGGAGTCTGCGATGGGCCAGAAAAACCCGGAGGAGGGCCGTGCCCCAACGGCCTGGTTGTCGTCCAAGCTTCATCGAACGTCGACTGTAAGTTTTTTGGAATTCCGTCCGCCATAGCTGAGCTTCAAACACAACTTTTTGAACAAGGAATCCCCACAGACGGCGCCAATAATGCAAGCGTAAGCGTCCTGGTCCGGTTTGAACGGATAGATCTTGGCCCTCGCCGGTAGAACGCCGGAAACCTGCAAATAACTCTCACACTGGGGGTTGTGTCCGGTGAAGAGCCTCCGATGCTTAAGTCAGTATGTGTATGAGTATGCTGAAGTGAAGTATGGAAAATAGAATGTGTTAAGGGAGAAAGGCTCACCCCCTTTATATAGGGGTGAGATACCTGCCCTAATAGCTGCCCGGACAGGGATGAGCTGGCTGCCCAAGCTGCCCGTCCGTACTCTGACACGCTGCGCACATGTCAGAGGTGGCGCGGGACGTTGGGAGCTGTCAGAGGTGGTTATCGCTATCACCCAATACATTGTCGACACGTGTCTCCCCTGCACATGGGGTAAATATTCTCATGGGATTCAGTTAGAGGCTCTTACGCGCGCCCGTGATACACGCGCCCATGACTAGGTCGACTGTTGGTTCCTCGAAACGATCGACCTGTTGAGGTCGAATAGGCTGCCCGACCACGTATTGGTCGAGCAATGGGTCGCTCGATCGTTTGTCTGGTCGTGCGATGGATTGGTCGACCACCTGCCTGGTCGATTCCCTGAATGTTCGATCTTCCCGCCTTTTAGCTCGGTTGCCTCCTGGTTTAACCTTCTCGACTGGCCAAGAAGACCGGTTTAGCCTTGTGTATATAATATCCCATATCAATATATATATGATATTCCCGTGCTTGAGAGCTTGTCTTTTCAAAGCGTTTGATTAGAGTTGTAATTGAGGTGTGCTATATTGGTAATTGGAATTCTCCTCGGCTAAGTTGATTAATTTGAGACTTGTCTTGTCTGAAACTATTATTCATGCTCGTTTGTTTGTTTTTGTTTCTTTTTTTTTTCTTTTTGTTCAGGACGAACAAAGGTTTTAGTGTGGGGGAGTTGTTTGTCCTATTTTTATTGCATTTTTTGCATTTGTTTTGTCTTAATTCTTCCCCCTACTAGGTCTTCTAGATAGTTTTTAGTTCGTTTTGAGGTTCATTCCGTGTTTTTCTTTATTTTAGTCTTCGCTATGTTTTTAGTTTGTTTTTCCCGGTTTCTGCGTTTGTTTCGTCATCGTTGATGTGAAGGTTGGGTTCTTTGATAGTTTTGTTATGGGAGAGGAAATAATTATTATAGGGTCAATTTCGTACAAGGGATCGTCACCATTACACTGGAGTAAACAGAACCAGATTCTATTTCCGAACGAGCGTAATCCGAACCCGAGACATGAAGCAGTACAGAGACGCATTAAAAGCTCTCATCCCACCATACTCGATTTCTGTCCGACGACCCCCATTTTCGCAGGCGTCCAGCAGCCCCGCCTCGCACCTACGCCACGTCCAGAAGCTCACGTTCAGAAGGCCACCCACGCCAGATCTGAGGAGCCCTGCTGCAAACCGACGCCTCACAACAGCCATCTTCTCTCCCATAAGCCGTCGTCTGCGAGCTACCAGCGCCTATCGTGAGCAGGCGAGGGTTCTAGTCGTTTCGACCAAGAACCCTCGTTCCTGCAGCCCGATCCTTCTATTCGAGCATCACCTCACCAGTTACATTTTAGCAAGCAGTCGACAAGCTTCGAACAACACCACAGCGCAACGCATCCTCCATCACCGTTGCATGTACAGAAGCGGATTTCACGTCCCCGCGCCGCGGCAAGCCGACGCACTGCGGCAGATCACCGTTCTTTCAAGTTCACGACAGAACGCGCCCAGCCTTCAACCACCGCGCCGTGAAGCTTTACCCACACCGTGGAGACTCCTCCTGCCACACTGCGAAGCTCTCCCACGCCGTTGCAAGACCACCTGCCATGCCGTGCTGCAACTCCTCTCCACGCCGCGACAAGGGCCTGCACCGTGACATCTCCTTCCATTAAGCCGCGCCTCTTCTTCCATGCCGTGTACAACGCCCAAATTTTCTTCTCTCCCGCGGGCGCGACTCCTCCTTCTCTGCGGACGCGGCGACCAAAAACAAGTCCCAACACCTAGACTTTTGCTTCCTAATTCTCGCGGCATCGACATGATTCGTGGTCGCGGAGCCGATACTAACCGTGGCCCGCGGGCTTTTCTGCGGCCACGACCTGGGCATTTTCAGATTATAAATTAGCAGATTTTGAAAACTTATGGTTGATTATGTTCGATCGAGGGTTTAGTTTCTCTCGTGCTTTTTCTTTTCTTCACTCGTTTTCCCTTCTCTTTTGATAATTTTGATCAGAGAATAAAGATTAAACTCGGATTTTGTCGTTGCTTGGGGATTAATCTTGTTTATCGTATTCGACTTTCAATATTGGCGAATTGTAAGACTTTCTATTCCTTTAATTTATGAATATGTTTGTCTTGATGTATGAGATTGTTAGTGTTGAATCGATCATGAGTGGCTAAATCCTTATGCTAGGTATAGGGGATTAATGTTTTGGAATCGTTTGTGATTGTTTGGCTTGAGATTGTTCAATTTGTGCGAGTTAATCTTTTACTAGGGTTTTTTTTATCATTGTTCTCGAATTTTGAGAATTGTTGAAGGGTGACACTTCAACGTCCAATTATTTTAATTGAATTCGTTTAATTCATGCATGATTTTGAAAACTTTAAACGAACTAGTTGATTAACCAACTCCTAGTCTAATTTAATCGACTCTTAGAACCGAAATGGGAGGAGTCGGTCGTAATTGGCTCGTATGAACTAGGCTTGTTTGTAACTGTATTGCCTAGGCGTTAATTGAATTGTTAATTTGTCGTTCAAGTTTATTCTCTTGTTACGAATAGTTATTGAGGATGAGTACTTTAAAGATAGATTATTCAATTCACTTAACTGAACAATCACTCGCTTAATAATTGCAATTCGAACCAAAACAGAAATCCCCGACTCCCCAGCTCCTTAAATCCTATTTGTTCTTCGTCTTCGCTTGCTATTTTTACTACTTTATTTAAATCTTTGCAGTAGTGGATAATTAAAAATCAACCTTTAATCTGAATTAGATTTTTTAGGAATTTTATTGTTTTTTGTGTGCTCGAATTAACGCGCATTATATTCTAGCTAACCTTTCTCGTAAGACACGACCCGGTGTTCAAATCTTTAGATTCTACTCCGAATAAATATTTACAACACAACACTTAAGCTTGGTACATGCAACACGTATAACATATTAAAAACAAGTATGTAATAGCCCACTATGTTCGGTTTTCAAATTTTGATGTATATATTTTCTTACGTTTTCTGTATATATGTTCTGTTTTGTATTTCCGAGGACGGAAATATTTTAAAGAGGGCAGATTGTAATAGCGCACTATGTTATTAATGTAAATTATATGTTTGGTTCTGAAATATTTGTTTCATCGATCATTATTATTCGGGACTAATTGTTTAGGTCAAGAACGTTCGAATTAATTTTCGAAGTGAAATGTATTAATTTCTGTCAAAGAAAACTTAATCCAAAATTATATTTATAATAAGAAAACTTTTCTAAGTATAGATAGTTCAAGGCGAAGCCAAACGCTCGAAAAAGTTCATGTTATCGCACGCTATGCATTAATCGCACGTTAACTGCCGCATGCTAAAGTTAAGCACTATAGCTACCGTGCATTAACAACGCTTAGATCTGTGCTTAAAGCGTACTTATGCGTGAGCTATTAAGTAGCCGCCAATCGCGCTTAGCCTTGCTAAGCTTTGCCTAATGACCGAGAGTTACATGTACAACTAGTAACCAACGTCATCATTACTGGGGACATATGGAAGCTTGAGATTTCATTTAGGAGATGACTAAGCCATGTTAGATGACTAAGCAAAAAAAAAATATTGTACACTTAAGGCCCTACTCCCACGGCAAGTGTTAAGAGCCCACTGGCCATGAATTTTCCACCTTATTTGACCCTATTTCATCTTCCTTTATTTATAGTGATTTCACTGTGAGTTGAAGTACTTTAGCAGAGTGTTCTTAAGCTATAGTTAAGAGAGTTTATCTTATATTAAGTTAATTTCCATACACACGCACGTCCGCAAGCTTCTACCCCAAGGTTCCCAAGCAAACACGAGAGTTTTACAAAATTGATCGAGCAACTGAGGAGGTAATCTCTTCCTGACTCTATTCTGATGTTAGAATAATTATGCTAAGTCCAAATTATGTAGCTAAGTTCAGGAATCGGCCATAATTGCTCTCGGTCGTACCAATCATGCCATGTCGAGCCATGTTTGTTTTTATTCGGCAACTCCCGAGCAATTCATGTTTTATTAGTTATTATTGGTTATATTATGACCAGTTATATAATGATTGTCGAGAGAAGTCATCGATTGGTCGAAGTATTGGCCAAAACCGTAGGCTACGCACATAGCGCACGCCACGGACATTCATGTCCCGTCAGTTATGCTAAACTAGATTCATGGTCATCCGGTTGATTTATGTGTAATTATTCATGTTATGTTAAGTCATGTTGATTCAGGTTAAAGTTTTCGGAGGAAGTCGTCGGGCGACCGATAAGGATCGGTCGTAGTTGCCATGCTCGCACACAACGGGCACAGCACGCTAGCAGTCAAGCAGGTCGGGCGAGCGTTTTGCGTGTATGCCCAGTCGGGCATCACGTAGAGTCACTGCCCGCAGCAGTCGACAGTCGGTTGGTGCCCATCGCACGCCCACACTCCCTAGCGCACACCAGTGCATTTAACCTCACGCCAGTCGGCCTTGGGCAGTGCCCGACAGCACGCCCGAGCGCCCAGTACCGTCAGGGTCGCCCGACAGCGCCCGTGTGGTACCAGTTCATGTCAGTCAGCGCCAGTCCACGCGTTCACGTGCCCAGCTACCTGTCGCGGTGCTCAGTAACACCCGACAGTGCTTAGTCGCGCAAGTGACGACGCCCACAGCGCCCGGCAGCGCCAGTAGTCATGCCATGCATCCATTCAGCCGTTGATCATGCCCGGTTGCACTCGATGGCCAATCCATGAATGCACGCGTTGCGCAAGTTGCACGCCAGCGCCTAATATCATGTCCAGTCGGGCCAGGCTAACGCCTGTCATGCCCAGCGAGAGTCAAGCCATGCCGGCCGTGCGCAGTGGCCCACCAGCGTGCACGGACGTCCCTGTCCATACTCAGTCATGACCAACAAGGCCCGGTCGTGCCTAGGCCGAGCCAGTCTATGCAAGCGAACGCCCTCGAGGCCCTAGCAGGCCGGTTGGCTGAGCCAGCGGCCGACCGCTCGGCCACAGCAGGCCGGCGGTCCGGCCAGACCGTAGACCGACCGGTTCAGATCAGTTTAACTCACGGATTAATGTTTAATGATCCGATTCATGTTTATGTCCAATTTTCAGTTAAATTCCTGGTCCGGTCAAGTTCAGTAAATTCATGTCAGTTTAGTTCCGTTTTAAACTGGTTCCGATTATACTGGTTAAGTTCAAATGTTATGTCAAGTCCAGTTGAGCATATTAACAGTTAAATTTATTAAGTCTGAGCATAGTACTTAGTATTTGTTTATATTATGTTACAATTTGAACAGTTCACGATTATCAGCACTTCCAGTTTCATATCGACGGTTCAGGTGGGGACTCAGACTGGGTATTACATTGATTATAATTATGGTACCATGTTTGAGGTATGTATCACGTTATGTTATGTTATGTATCCGCTTGGAATGGTCGCCGGTCCATTCTGGGATCTAGTGGCCTAGTCTGCCCACTAGAGTGTGCACATGGTGTCCGACATTTTTATGCTGGCAGATGAGGTAACAGTTATGAGGTAACGGTTATGTGATGGTAATGGTTTACCGGTTCATGTTGATGGTTATGTATATGCCAGGATCATGATATTGCAATTATTTACACTGTTTACTTTTGTATGAGTTCCTACGGAGCACAGTGGACTTTAGTGCTCACGCCCCATGTTTATATATGTGTTTCAGGTCACAGAGTCGGACCGGAGGAGTGAGCTGATGGGCGGATCAGGATTTTATTTATATTTTTGAATTTGGCATAGCAGTGCTATTACTATCTCCCGTAGTGGAGTTAAATATGTTGCCACGCTACGATTTCCGCTGACTTTTTCATGTTTGTCAAACTTAGCCTTTTGATCCGATTACTAGTCAGATTGTTTATATTATGACAAACCGGTTTTCTTTAAAAAAAAATAAAAATAATGGATTTCAAAGTAAAGTCATGATTATGGTAGCACTCCGAATTACGATTTTGCAAATTAATCGGCGTTTCTAATAAAAGATTTTGCAAAAATTTAACTCTGGTATTTATGACATAGTGGGGTGTTACAGTTAGTATCAGAGCACGTTTCTGCGTCTCTGAATATTTTATGAGTCAGAATTTTTATAAAAAAACCCGACCACGTCACGCTCACGCCTCGCCGACTACCAGGTACGTGCTGATTCATGTTTTAAATTATAAACAAATGACTATGTCTATGCTCAGTAAAATCCACAGTTATGACTTAGTTAGGATGCTCGAGTCATGTTCAGGATTTATAGTTCAATATGTTCATGATTCCATGTCAAGATTTTCTAGGTTATGTTAAGCAACTCGTCAAGAGATTTGTGCGCCTTATTAATTAGTTAAAGTATTTTTCCTGTGTCTGATAATGTTGAACATTATCAATACTCAGATGCTGCCACGTTGAGAGCCAGATCATCAAGAGGTTCCCCAGGCCACCGTAGTCGCTCAGTTTCGCGACTATCATCCTGAAAAATTCTCCAGCCAGGGAGATCCTCGAGTTGTTGATGAATGGGTCCAGGGCCTTGAAATGATTTTCGAGGTTATGGAATGTCCCGACCGTTATCGTGTTCTATGCGCACAAATCCAATTGACGGGTGATGCACGTCTCTGGTGGAACGCCTACTGCGGAATGCGTCCTGGTGAAAATGAAGGTTGTACGTGGGACAGGTTTAAGGAGTTGATTCGCGAGAAATATTATCCCGCGTACTATCGAGCTGACATGGAGCGTCAATTTCTGGCGCTTAAACAAGGTACTCGTGCGGTGGACGAGTACGAGCGAGAGTTTACTCGGCTTGGAGCCTTTGTTCCCGATCTGGTGAGCACAGAGGCAAAGAGATCGAGACGTTTCACCGACGGGCTTTTACCAGTAGTTGTTCATAACATTGTAGGTCACGGCGTTCAGACCTATGCCCGTACTGTCACCATAGCCCAAGAAGTTGACGCCAGCATCCGGAGAGAGGCCAACCACGATCGTCTTCAGCCAATTGCCCCTGCCCAGTCATCTTTAGCCCCACCAGTTCAACCAGCTGCTGCCCAACAACCGAAGGACAAGAAGAGGAAGGGGAGAGGCTTCCAGACTGACAGGAGGATCCGCCCGAAACAACCAGGTGCTGCCAGGCCACAACAGGTTCCACCATGCCCTACTTGTGGACGCCCCCATCGTGGAGAGTGTCATTTCATCCAGGATATTTGCTACTTTTGTCATGAGCCTGGACATTTTGTTAGTCGCTGTCCAAAGCGACCCTAGCAACCACCACAACAACCCAGACAACAGACCCCGAGGCCACCCCTGCAGCAGTGGGACATACAGCAGACTCGTGTTTATGCAGTAGATCAGGCCGAGGCGGAGCAGCACCCAGGTACTATGTCTGGTATGATTATCTTACACGAAGTTCCTGTTTTCGCCTTATTTGATACTGGGGCAACTCACTCTTTTATTTCACGACGATGCCTTGATGCCATTGGAGTACATTCTATTTCTGTTGTCGATCCTCTCGAGGTGAGTTTAGCCTCGGGACGAAAGATAGTAAATGATGCCAAAGCGACAGATCTCAGCCTTTCTATCAGTGGTCGTATCTTGTCTACCGACGCTTATGTTCTCGAGATGAGGGACTTTGACCTCATTCTCGGTATGGATTGGCAAACTTATTTTCATGTAGATATTTGATGTCATGATCGGGAGATTACTCTTTATCTTCTGGGAGATGATCATATTACTTTCTTTGGCACCAAGACTCATTCTTTACCTCATGTTATTTTCATGGCGAAAGCCAGAAAAATGTTACGCTGAGATGATTGTCAGGGTTATCTTGTAAGTCTTGTTGATGATAAACCGAAAGCACGGACACCTCACGATGTTCCTATTGTTCGTGAGTTTATGGATGTGCTTCCGGACCAATTTCCAGGAGGACCACCTAACCGGCAGGTAGAGTTCTCTATTGATCTTATTCCAGGAGCCGGCCCAGTTTCCAAAGCACATTATCGAATGGCACCGAAAGAATTGCAAGAGCTCTAGACTCAAATTCAGGAATTATTGAAGCTCGATTTTATCCGACCGAGTGTCTCACCGTGGGGAGCACCCTTTCTTTTTGTAAAGAAGAAGGACGGTTCTATGCGCATGTGTATCGATTACCGGTTAACAATCAAGAACAAATATCTGCTTCCCAAAATTGACGACTTGTTCGATCAGCTAAGGGGAGCCTGTGTATTTTCCAAGATTGATTTACGATCAGGTTACCATCAGCTGAAGATCAAGGAGTCAGACATTGCAAGGACCGCTTTTCGTACCTAGTACGATCATTATGAGTTCGTAGTCATGCCATTTGGCCTCAGTAACGCTCCAGCAGTATTTATGGACCTGATAAACCGTATCTTCCATCCTTATCTTGATCAGTTTGTTATTGTTTTCATTGATGATATTCTAATCTACTCCAAGAGCCACAAGGAGCACAAGGAGCATCTGAGGGTTGTTCTTAAAACCCTTAGACGTGAAAAGTGATATGCTAAATTCTCCAAATGCGAATTCTGGCTCCAGCGAGTAGCCTTTCTTAGCCATGTTATCACTCAGGCAGGTATTGAGGTTGATCCATCCAAAGTTGCCGATGTTCAGAATTGGTCGACACCGAAGAATCCATCCGAGGTTCGCAGTTACCTCGGTTTAACAGGCTATTATCGCAGGTTTATCGAGGGTTTTTCCAAGATTGCCCTTCCTTTATCCCAATTGACGAGGAAGTCTGTGATGTTCGAGTTGACTGATCGATGTGAATCTAGCTTCCAAGAGCTCAAGAAGAGGCTTACCACAATACCGGTGTTGACTATTCCAGAACCTTCTCGGAGTTTTACTATATTCAGTGATGCTTCAAGACAGAGTTTTGGATGCGTACTCATGCAGGATGGCCAGGTCGTTGCTTATGCTTCACGCCAATTAAAGCCCCATGAACAGAATTATCCTACGCATGACTTGGAGCTAGCAGCGGTAGTTCATGCACTGAAGATTTGGCGACATTATTTATACGACGGTCGATGCGAGATTTTCACTGATCATAAGAGCTTACAGTATATTTTCACTCAAAAGGAGCTCAACATGCGGCAACGTCGTTGGTTAGAGCTTGTTAAGGATTATGATTGTACCATTCAATACCATCTGGGGAAAGCGAATGTCGTTGCTGATGCCCTAAGCCGTAAGGTGAAGGGTGACTTGACTTATGTTATTACTTAGCAGAACCATCTTATTCAGGAGTTCGCCCGGATGCAGATTCAGGTTGTTGATGCACTTCCTACAGCAATCACGGGGAGTGTAAGTTCTATACAGGTCCAGCCTACGTTGAGGGAAAGGATCCGGCGGGAGCAGGCTTTTGATGAATTTATTCATGCTATTGATGCCAACGTCCGCGCCGGCAGCGTTGAGGGTTTCCACCGAGGCACAGATGGAGCCTTGGAATTTCGAGGTAGAATTGTTGTACCAAAAGTCGAGGCGTTGCGGAAGGAGATATTGACTGAAGCTCACACCGCACCTTATTTAGCCCACCCAGGAAGCACGAAGATGTATCACGACTTGAAAAAGTCGTTCTGGTGGCGAGGAATGAAGAAGGACGTAGTTGACTTTGTGAGGAAATGTTTAACCTATCAGCAAGTCAAAGTCGAACACAAGAGTCCCTTGGGCCTTCTGCAACCACTCGAGATTTCGAAGTGGAAGTGGGAGGAGGTCATGTTGGATTTTGTCACAGGATTATCGAGGTCGTATGAACATCACGATGCTATTTGGGTCATGGTGGACAGATTGACTAAGGTTGCTCACTTCTTACCAGTATCGATGAATATGTCTTTGGACAAGTTAGTCGAGATTTATACCCGTGGAATCATTCGACTTCATGGAGTGCCCGTTACTATCGTGTCAGACCGGGATCCCAGATTCACTAGTAGATTCAGGGAGAGTTTTCACAAGGGGATGGGTACGCGACTAGAGTTTAGTTCGGCTAACCATCTAGAGACTGACGGACAGACCGAGCGGACTATTCAGATGTTGGAGGATATGTTACGAGCTTTGGTTGTTGACAGGGGTGCTAAATGGGAGTCGTTATTTCCATTGGTCGAGTTCACTTACAACAACAGTTATCATGCTTCTATTCAGATGACTCCTTACGAGGCACTTTACGGTCGTAAATGTCGTTCCCCTCTTTATTGGGACGATGTCGGTGAGCGTCGAGTACTCGATCCGAAGATGATTGAGAAAACAACTGAGCAGGTGGAGTTGATCAGGCAGAGACTTAAGACAGCTCGGAGTCGGCAGAAATCGTCAGCCGATCAGCATTGACGAGATATTCAGTTTGAGGTTAGGGAGCGAGCCTTTCTTAGAGTTCGTCCATTCCGAGGGATCGTTCGATTCAGGAAGAGAGGAAAGCTGCATCCTCGATCATTGGCTCGTTCGAAGTTCTCGAACGAGTGGGCAAAGTTGCGTATCGATTAGCCTTACCTCCCGAGTTGTCCAATGTTCATAAAGTTTTCCATGTATCCATGTTACGCAAGTACGTGTGAAATCCAGATCATGTTCTTCAGCATACCAAGAATTACTGAGTTCGAATAGAATCAAAAAATGGAAGATTTGTTCGGTAAATTTTTATGATTATTCAGCCAGATTTATCTTATGAGGAGAGACCGGTAGCTGTACTGGACCGACAGGTTCGTCGGCTCCGGAAACGTGATGTTCCACTCGTTTGTATCCAGTGGGATCGCCACGGTGCCACTTGGGAGCAGGAGGCTGATATTCGCGCTCGTTTTCCTGATTTCAAAATTTGATGTATATATTTTCTTATGTTTTATGTATATATGTTCTGTTTTTTTATTTCCGAGGATGGAAATATTTTAAAGAGGGCAGATTGTAATAGCCCACTATGTTATTAATGTAAATTACGTGTTTGGTTATGAAATATTTGTTTTATCGATCATTATTATTCGGGACTAATTATTCAGGTCAAGAACGTTCGAATTAATTTTCGAAGTCAAGTCTCGACTGAAATGTATTAATTTTAGTCAAAGAAAACTTAATCAAATTATATTTATACTAAGAAAGTTTTTCTAAGTATATATAGTTCAAGGCGAAGCCAAACGCTCGGAAAAGTTCATGTTATCACACGCTATGCATTAATCGCACGTTAACTGCCACATGCTAAGGTTAAGCACTATAGCTACCGCGCATTAACAGAGCTTAGCTCTGTGCTTAAAGCGTACTTATGCGTGAGCTATTAAGTAGCCGCCAATCGCGCTTAGCCTTGCTAAGCTTTGCCTAATGACCGAGAGTTACATGTACAACTAGTAACCAACGTCATCATTACTTGGGACATGTGGAAGCTTGAGATTTCATTTAGGAGATGACTAAGCCATGTTAGATGACTAAGAAAAAAAATTTGTACACCTGAGGCCCTACTCGCACGACAAGTGTTAAGAGCCCATTGGCCATGAATTTTCCACCTTATTTTACTGTATTTCATCTTCCTTTATTTATAGTGATTTCACCGTGAGTTGGAGTACTTTAGCAGAGTGTTCTTAAGCTATAGTTAAGAGAGTTTATCTTATATTAAGTTAATTTCCATACACACGCACGTCCGCAAGCTTCTACCCCAAGGTTCCCGAGCAAACACGAAAGTTTTACAAAATTGATCGAGCAACTGAGGAGGTAATCTCTTCCTGACTCTATTATGATGTTAGAATAATTATGCTAAGTCCAAATTATGTAGCTAAGTTCAGGAATCGGCCATAATTGCTATCGGCCGTACCAATCATGCCATGTCGAGCCATGTTTGTTTTTATTCGGCAACTACCGAGCAATTCATGTTTTATTAGTCATTATTGGTTATATTATGACCAGTTATATAATGATTGTCGAGAGAAGTTATCGATTGGTCGAAGGATTGGCCAAAGCCGTAGTCTACGCACATAGCGCACGCCATGGCCATTCATGTCCCGTCGGTTATGCTAAACTAGATTCATGGTCATCCGGTTGATTTATGTGTAATCATTCATGTTATGTTAAGTCATGTTGATTCAGGTTAAACTTGTCGGAGGAAGTCGCCGGACGGCCGATAAGGATCGGTCGTTGTTTCCATGCTCGCACACAGCGGGCACAGCACG